CAAACACGCTGATCATCGTAAAATACATTCAAATTCTCCAATCTCTTGTCAAAATTTGGTCGACGTAGTTCGTATCCTGTTTCATAATATACTGTGTTAAACCGCAATTAAAAAAACCATGTAAAAAATGCACAAATATTGAAAATAAAACTTACCCATGCTGACTATCTCGCTACGAATGTGTGCGTTATGAAATTGGTCGATACTATTATTGCCAATATGATGGATACAAAATGTCGGATATGCATACGGAGGTATCCAACGACTTCCTGGTCGTTCAATTGCCGCCAAAATACCCATTCCTCTATCGGATATCAAGCAAACTCCATCTTCACGAACGATATATTGACGTAGATTGGTCAGAAAGAAATCCCAAGCCTCTGTTGTCTCTCCCTCAACAATGGAGAATGCAATTGGGAAGATATTTCGCTCACCATCTTGAGCAACTGCCATCAAAAGTACATGCCTATATTGACCATACAGCCACATACCATCTACTTGGATCATACGTTTGCAAAATGGAAATCCTTCAATACATGCCTTGAATGCCCAAAATAGTCTATGAAATATTTTCTTCCCTGGCAGAAGTTGACCTTCTTCGTCATATGCGGGCATGGTTTGAGACTTCACTATGGTTCATGGGATAAATCGCTTCATTGCTTGTAGCAAATGTAGTAGCTCATTGTACGATGTATCCCAATCTCCATACGTCAGCTTCATTGCCTTCATCTTCGCATTCCACACCTTGCCATATTTTACTTGATATCCAAATTGGCTTCGAATAGATGCAGCTAACACTGAACAAGATATCCTTGGATCCTTTTCAACCATCGCCTTCACGTATTCACATATTACATCGGAGTCCAATAGTCGGTGGTCTTGTTCGATGAAGTTTTGCAAACATGTGTGAGGACCATTGTACCTCGTGATGACCCAAACATCGTGCCTTTGATTTTTCGACACTCTGATCTTCCACTTGCACTCTAGGCCATATTTTACACACTTCGCGTATAGGGTTTTCTGGTTGGACTCTGCAACATGGATATCAACATGGCATTTTATGCAGTACTCTTTAATCGCCAGGGTAGCTTCATTTTTTCCTCTGAATTGCACCCCAACTGAAAATTCACCAGAATTATCGAATGATTCAGTCATTTGGTATGGAGGTAAATGTAGCATGTCTGAGAATTCAGGTGCCCTCATCGCATCATAGTTTATCTCGTACATGTGAGGAGTAGTTTCATACGGTGACGGAACTTCATCAATTGCACCTCCACCAAAAATATTTTCGTCGCCGCCCAAAACGGGTTCTTCGGTTTCTTCATCTTCACTTGAATCATCATGAATTTCTCCCCATCGATTTTCAGCGTTAATATCAACAACCAATTCCGGTATGTTTCTCGCCTCATACTCTGCTGCTGCATATGTCCCCCCGAATTCATTTACACTTTCCAATAGTGCCATAAAACTGTTCGGGAACTTGTATGTCGGCTCCTCAAACTGACTATATAAAGCCATTTCAGATGGATTTTGAGCCACGCCTCTTGATGACCCAGGAACATCACATATGTTACGTACATCAACAAATAACTCAATAACTGCTATATTGGTTGACTCATGTAATCCAACCATGGTTCTAATATCATCATCTTCTTCAAATGGAACTGCAGCATATCTGACTGGGTTGGGGCATATCATAAACATATACCTCAAACCATCAACTGCAGCTCGAATTTTTCTTTCTATGTTATGCTTAATTTTTATAAATGTGATGTCTTTTTTGAACATCATATTTATTGTTTTTTCAGACTGAAAAACTACTCCGGCCTCATTTTCCATAATATGTCCATTATAATGGACAATTGTGAAAAAGTTGTTGCTCATTTTCTCTACAAATAAAAAAATAAATTAATTTAGATTAAAAAATTAGATAAGATAATTTCATAAATCATTAAATATAATATAATATACTATTATATTAATGATCAAATAAAATTTGTTATTTAATTTGATTGATTGATTACTAATATTACTAATAATGATTTAATAATTATTATTAATCTAATGATTTGATATTTAATGATTTAATAATAATATGATTTAGTCATGATTACTAATAATTATTTATTATAAATATTTAATGATTTATATTTTATACTAATCATTTAGTAATTATTACTAATAATAATGATTAGTTTGATAATATTTTTTATTTCTTAAAAATATCAAACAAATTTGTTAGGCAGAACTGTCGAAATATTGTTCTCGAAAGAAATATTTAGTGAGATAATGCGTTGACCGGATTATTTCATTCAATTAATTTTTACTCTTTACTAATTACACATATAATATAAATTAAACAAAATATTTTTAAAACAACACTAAATATTTTTAAACACAATATTTTTTTTAAACATAAATTATCTCGCACAAATTATCTAATATAAACTTACTAACTAACTAATTTACACATACACAACAACTAAAAATGGACAACAAAAAATAATAAATTACCCGCGTATTTGTGTCTTCCTCCTTTCCTTTCTAACAACTAATTAAGCACTAATTAATTTTTTTATAATATAACTTCAACAAACAACCTAATATACGTTTAAAGATACTAACAAATTAATTAATTTTTTTATATTTAATAACTTAAACTAAGAAACTAATTAACGAATTTTTTATATAATATAATATATAACTTAAACTAACAAACTAATATAATATAACTTAAACTAACAAACTAATTAACTAAATTTTAGTTTTACCATAAACCCTAAGCTAACAAACTAATAATTTCATATAATAAACTAAATTAAACAATAAAAAATTACCTCAAAAAAATGTTTGAGCCTTTATCTTCTTTTCTTCTTCTTCATTTTCTTTCTCTCGATAAAGTTTCTATATGTGCTGCTTCTATTTTTACCCTAAACCCTAAACCTCCATATCCTCTATATAAAGAAAATGAGCGTTGGAGAACGTTATTAAATTTGATTGTTGAAGCAAATAATATTGAGCACTGAATCGTGTAACTATTGAGCGTTGAAAGGCTGCAATTCAACAGCAATATTTGCTGCATTTAGCAGCTAAATTAACGCTTATGGATGCATGAATCTCCCAGCTATGGATGCAACGCATGCATGAGGGAACAGAGGGTTAAAGCTTGGCTACAATCTCCCAGCTATGGATGCAACCCATGCACGAGGGAGCCAGCTATGGATGCAACCCATGCACGAGGGAGCAGGGTTAAGTTTGGTCGCCAGGATAATTGGTCGAGGCTTGGTCGCTGGGAGTGCATGGCGGCCTTGTAGGTCGCTGGGAGTGCATGGCGGCCTTGTAGGTCGCTGGGAGTGTTTGGCGACCTTGTAGGGGTGTTGGGGAATGCATGGCGACCTGTTGGGGACGTGTATGTGCCATGCAAACGTCCATTATCTATCCCGGGAAGCTGGCGACGTAGTAGGTCGCCCGGAAGGCATGGCGACCTACGGCCACACTGTTGATTTCGCCCTATTTCAGCAAATAATATAGGGAGTGCATCAGATCGTGATTTATTTATTTTGAGTGCATTATATCGTGAGTTTAGCCTATTAAAATTGTATTTTATTATTATTTTTATATTTGAAGAATTTTTCATTATATTTATTCCATAAAATTTCTAATCATAATGTACATTACTTTAGTTCACCTTTTTATTTTTTACTTTTTTGATATAACAATACTAGTTTTTATCAAAATAAGTCGTGTGATATTATAAGAATATGATACGTAAAACTCTAAGAACATAATACGTAGGACATAATATATATTAAATTTATTAAAATATATACAGAATACGTGGCAATGACATTGTGTTTTCGTATTCCAAGTTTTGATGTTTCATCCATTAATTTCGAGATAATATAGTTTAATGCGTTTTACCCATATTCCGTATATTTCTTGTTGATTCATTCAAACAATGATGCTTCATAAAACCTTTATCAATATTTGGTAATTGGTCTGTTCATATAGTTTGGTTTGTGATTGACAAAATATATGTCTAAATATATATATTAACAAACGGTAATATGCCCCAACTGTTCATTTCTTCGGCACAATGACACATTAGACATTCGTTTCTTCGGCACTTACATTTCGTGAATGACTGATACGACTGGTACGAACGCCGTCGTTGCATTTCCAGACCCTAATTCCGCACAGTTGGTACTACTGCCCTATATTCTAGACCCGTCTGGCAAGCTCCAAAAACCACCGCTCCTCTCTCGACTTCCACTTGATTTCTTCATCGGCTACCTTGTATGGTGGCAAGATGGATACCATACACAATGGTGCAACAGTTCAAATTTATGCCACGGTGAAACTTGTACCGAACAAGACCAAGATTCACAATGTTTGGAACAGAGGATTGTATGACCAAGGCTACCCCCCAACCATCCGTCCCAGAGGTTTAAAGACCTTTCCACGATAATGACACTCGATGTCTTGTCTTGTTCAGCCGCTACACAGCACAACATGGATATGCTCAAGCTCGTTCTCGGGATCTTTAACGTGCCATCTCCTAGGGAATATTACTACCGATGGGAGCCATCATGGCTCAATACATGTTGAGATATGTTGCTTCGCATTATTAAAAGCAACAAGTTTTTGTTCTGTGATTTTATGTAATGTTTAAGCAAATTTTCCTGTGGAGTTATTAGAAATGGCAGTTGGAGAATGAATGAGACTATTTCAGATATTTGCCTCTTTTGATAAAACTGCAAGCCAAATGGTCTCCTTTATGGTGTCACTATCATAATATAGAAACAGTATTCATATGCACGAGGGGATCAACTTGGATCATGGCATGCATTGGACAATTTGCAGATATTTATATTTAAATTCAAGTGGAAAAGGAAATGGAAATGAAAAAAGAGAATAAAACAAGAACTGCAAGCATGATTTTTAAATAATATCACAAACAAATAGCATATACATAACTAATTACCAACAAGGCTTCCATATTTAGTGTGAAAAATCAATTGAAACCATTCATTTCAGTATTTCAGAAAGAAAGTTCCAACCCTGTTAGAACAAAAGTTTCAACCACGAATGAACGATCATATGTCTGTAACTTATTCCGAGGAACATTATGGCGGAAAGACAAACCAAAATAATGGAAGAAAAGGGAAAAGAAACAAAGAAGCAAAGCTAAGCATGCCTGACAAGAACCCACAACTTTGTCAGAGCCATTACAGAACATAATATCTAAGGAGGAAATAGAAATAGTCTACAATCTATATTGTTATGACTTGTGCATCACCGCCTTACATGAGATGCATGATACATTTTCTGACTATATCCCGGAATCTGATTTTACATCTCACTCGAATACCAAAAATGAACCCTAAAATGCAACTCAAAACTCAAGCCTCAACACAAAATACTTTGTGACCCCTAACTCTAAAAAATGTATTTCTCCAAAAACAGGCACTTCATTTAGCTCTAGCTTACCAACTTTCTTAAAAGTGAAACATATTGAAAACGACGGAATTGAGCAGAACTCACAGATCACTTGCGTCACAAGTTATCTCCACCTACAGTACACTGATAATCAAATTAAACTTCTAGGTAGCAATTCCTGAAGCAAGAGAAATCAAAATCTGTCAGTACAAAGAAACTAAGTATTTATAACTATTTTTGGGAGTGCACTAAAAAGCATGTTTGCTGTTACAGGTATCATGGTATAAGAGCATGTTCTACAATGGTTGGATACAAACTATTTCCTTTTGACAATGAAATACAGTCAACTTAGCTCGTTTAGTAGTAACTATTGTGTTTTCATGACCTTAGATTAAAGAGAAAGGAAGGAGTGACAAAAGAAACTTATAAGCAAATTATGGGGTCTCATGTCTACTGAAAGAAAAGTCTAGAAGATAGTGACAAGTCAAGAAACAAGAATGAAGCCCCTCTGTCAATTCCGGTGCTAAATCTAAATGTGCAAGGCCCAAATTCAACCCGTTTGTATTTGCCATTCTGTTTCTGGCATCTTTCTTCTCTGAGAGATCATTATCCATTTTATGATTTGAAACATGATACATCACAATCAAGAGGAAAATAGGAGAGTAGGCATTAGACCCACCAACTAATTATGTTTTAAGGAGAAAACCAAAGAAGAGCAAAAGCAATTGCTTTACTGGCCTGGCTCAAAAGAAGGAACAAAAAAAAAAAAAAAATTGAATGACTAGAAACTGAACTACAGAAGGCAGAGGACGGAAGAAATGTGTCCTTATAAGATTCTTGTATTCTCTCCATTAAATATGATCTTAGACTTCAACAACTGAATATCTTAGCAATCCATCAACAAGAATTCTTATTTATAGCTTACTAAAACGGAAAGGTAAAGGTGCTATCAATTCTAAAATACAATTACTTAAAACCTTCCAATAAGACGGGAAGGTTTTAAAATGGAAGGTTTTAAGTAATTGTATTTTAGAATGGTAGCACCTTTACCTTTCAGTTACACATTACATATGATCATTATGTCACTCTTGACTGACATTCTGGTTAAAAATAGCAACCAGTCATGCAGATATTACCAAAAGAATATTTATATTACTAAGACGAATGCAGCAAAATTTAAGCCCAGCCAAAATAAGTAAATGCTAGCGGAGCCTCATATGAAAGGTTTTAAGTTTTGTTCGGTAATGCTTGTATAACACCTGAACAAGAATATGCTACTAAACTCCCCTGAATATAAATACCACTAAGGCAAGGACAAGTACAAAATCTTACCTCTATTTGATTGTTCCTTATTAACACTATAACCGCCAACATAACCAGGAGAACTTTTACCAGGAACATCAGAAGTGGTACTACCAAGCCCATAACCAAAGGAACCAGAACCATCTCGCTCGGATATTGATGATGGCCAATTGGTATCCCCATAATATGAAGCACCACCATAAACATCTGCAAAGGTATCATCATAACCACCATTTGATGCTGCATATGATGATGTTGGCACCACGTTGGTCCCAATGTTTCTCTCAAACCCCGCAGTCCCCAACCCGAAGCTGTTATCACCACTTCTATAACCAAAATTCACACTATTGTTAGAGACATTATTCCTTCCACCTTGACTGGAAATTGGAGAACTCCAATTAATTCCACTATTCCCAAAGGCACTTGCTCCTATACTCCCACTTCCAGATCCTGCATAGGCACTGGAACTAGCAGCATTTGCATTATAGTTGAGCCCTCCATTTCCCCAAAGATTCCGGGTCACTGAACTGAAAAAGGAAGTACTACCTCCACCTCCATTACTTCCATTATACCCAATAGGACTACCAAACCTATTCGGGTTACCAATATAATAGGGGCTTATTCCTCGTCCATAGTTATTAAAATCTGCACTGTTTCCAAAACTTGGGTTCAAACCTGGCTCAAAGTTCATGCCCATTCCAAAACCAGAACCAAAAGGAGGAAAACCGCTTTGACCACCAGCAGCTGGACTATATCTAATGTCCATCCTAAGTCCATAGGCTCCAAGGCTATTAGGATTATATCCCTGAGTGTAGCCATTCAGAAAGTTGTTGGCCCTATTCAAACCATAGTTATATACACCAAAGGGGCTACGAGCAGGGCCAGGCGATAACTCTTTGGGAACTGCTCGTTTAACCTCGACCATTTTACCATTCAGTTCATGAAAATTTTTTAGCAACACTTTATCCACTGCCTCTTCTGAATCATAAGTGATGAATCCGAAACCCCTAGGCCTTTGAGTGTTGTGATCATACATCACTACAACATCTGTGATATTCCCAAACTGATCAAAATACTTCTTAAAGTCACTCTCTGTTACTGTAGATGCTAAACCTCCTACAAAAATCTTTCTTGTGCGGCCTGGACCAGGTGAACCCTGGATGCTATTAGTGCTTCTACTCGTAATGTTCTGGTCATCCCTAGGAACTGCCTTTTTTGCCTCAACCTGTGCAAGAGTAACTCGATGATGAAAATTAATCCTTTAGAGCAACAACTGTTTCATCTCAATGTAGATGATTACACTAAATTACAAACACAACCACTATCTTTGTGAAGGAAAAGATAAATAAGTGGAACGTGAAACTGTTACACTTGGCTTAATTAGTTGGACACAGAACCAGAAATATATGAATTCCTGCAACTATAATATCAGTTTCATAAACTTGAAAAGGAATTGAATTTCCCCCCCCTCTTTCATCAGTATGCTAACAGCAACAATGAATAGTACATTGGACAACATTCATATTAAGAGGTTTGTTTAAACTTAAAGATCAACAACTTACCATCCTGCCATCAATATTGTGTTTCTCCTTTATGACTTTCTCGGCAACGGTTGGGTCAGAGAAAACTATGAAACCAAAACCTCGAGCACGCCCTGTGGTCCGATCCTTCATGATCACTGCCTCTACCACTTCACCAAAACTTCTGAAATACTCCTTGAGGCGCTCTTCATTGGTGTCCCAAGATATTCCACCAATAAATAGCTTACCATTCTCAGACATATTTCTCTGCATTACAGAAAAACTAGTTTAATCAATACAAAGTCCAAACCATCCGCAAATCTAAACCAAATACAATCTTTAACGGTCAAATTCATTACTGGATTAAATGCAATATATGAAAATTCCATAGCAACAACAACAATAAACCAGTCAAAAACCAATACCAAAATGTTCCTTCTTCATGAATCAAATTAACAATATCAAATCAAAATCATGTCTTTTATTGACTATAGCAATCTAATCACAATAATGCTGAAAGAATTCAATACCTTTTTATCTAACAAAACGTGTAATCCGATACACAATGAAAATTTCTCTCCGATTGAAAGCTAAAAGCAAACAGATCTTTCGACAGTCAATGCTTCACCTGGAATTCAGAAATGAAAGAGGAAAAACACCAAAACCCAGATAGTTGATCAATCAGAAACCTGATATTAGCTGTAAAAGTTTATTGCAAGTTTTAGCAAAATGTTTAAAACATAAATCCAGATTCAAAAAAAAACCCACCGATCAAAGCAAACCCAAGTGCCAAAACTTGCAAAAAAAAACTAAGATCTGAAAGGAGGCACGATAAGAATAAGAATAGAGGAGGTTAATCTCATCCTCTTTGTTCTCTTCTATTTGCCTTGCCCCCCTCAAATAATATTTCCTTCTTTCAATTTTATTCTGTCCTTTCTTATGGTAAAAATCTCAAATTTTTTAACACCTAAAATGCAAATTCAATTAAAAATATTCATATGAATTTGTCTTATAGAAATGCAACGAGCAAAATATAAGAAAAAAAAAAGTTTTGTTTGGAGAGAGAGAGAGAGAGAGAGAAAATGCCTAAAAAGGTAAAAAAAAAGTTTGAGATTTTGGAGACTATATATATTATGTCGATTTTAAAAACTACATTTAGTGAAAATTGAATTCAAGAAAAAAATATATAACTATTTTCTTTTTATATATCAAATTAAAACAAATAAAATTAAAAATTGCATATTAACCGATTTAAATTTTGCAAATTATATGAAATCGTTATATATTTTATTATTTTGAACACTAATACAAAATTAATAAATATAGTTTGATATATTTTATTTTTTATTTACACAAAATATTTTTGGCTTAAAGTAAAAATAAGCCCTAAACTATACTTTTTTGTTTTATTTAAGTCCCTAAATAATTTTTTAATCAAAATAAGTCTTTAAACTACTGTATGTAACCATTTTAAGTCCTATCAATTTTAAATTAAATAAAAAATGAGATGTTGACATATCTCACAAAATTAGATACTTATTTTGATAAAAATAATTTAAAGATTTAAAACAAAAAAGAAACATGGTTTAAAGGTTTATTTTGACTAAAAATAGTTTAAATACATAAAGTGACTACATATAAGAGTTTAAGGATTTATTTTGATTAAAAATAATTTAATAACTTAAAGCAAATATATATATATATATATATATATATATAATTTAATAACTTATTTTTAGTTTAAGCCAATATTTTAAAAAGGTTTTTTAAAATGAATATTTAAAAAAGTTTTTAGGTGTTAATGTTAGGAAAAAATGACAAACAATTTCATATAAAATTTACTTTTTTATGTATGGTCAAATTAATCCATTTAATCAAATTAATGAAAATAATATATCTATGATAATTTAGATAAATTTTATTAATAAAAAATATTTATAATTATTTATTATTTATTTATGTATTATATTTTATAAATTTAATTTGGAGAAATTATGTTAGAAGAATCATATTATTTTTTAATTTAAAAAAATAGAATTATAAACATTAATTTCGTACGAACTCAAATTCAGAATAAAATAACTAGACCCGAAGTCTTAAACCCATTAACCCACCTTTTCTCCTAAACTCAGGCCTGATCTAAACCCATTTCCAGACCTGGGTCAGCCCCCAAATCTGTCAAACTTTTATCCTATCAACCCATATTATCCTCCAACTGAATATAATAATTTAAAATTTATGAGAATAAATAATTTATTAAAAAATACAGTCAAATGATAAAATTAAATAAAATATAAAATTGAAGGTATAAATTAAAAAAAATAGAGTTACATGAATATTTTATAACTTCAAATTTGATTTAAAAATTGACTTAAAACGAAAGAAGATTTAAAAAAAATAAAGAATTGAATAATTGAGTAAAAAATCAAATTACTTATCTAAATACCAAAATGATGTTGTGTTTACTTTTTAATTTCTTTGATTATTAAACTTTTTAAATTCAAATTCAATTTACTATATTTTTTTAATATTTTAAAATTGAATGAAAGTTCAATAATTTGAAATTAAAAATAAATGGAGTCAAAATAATTTTTTATTATTATTTAAATTATTCTACTTTTACAAACAGTCCATTTAGACACTCAATCAACTTCTTCTCATCTGCTTGATAAATTTAAATAAGAATATTTAATTTAATGGATAATATACATATACGATTTTTATGGGTGGAGTGCCTTTGTGTTGTATATATATGCACCATTGGTTCATGTGGTGCATCTTCAAACTGAACAAAATATGGTTCTCCCCCCAAGAGTTGAACCTGCCAACGTTTGAGGTGACCTTGAAATTAATAGAGTCCATATCTAAAACGGGATTAGCAAACTAATATGTCAACCCAATGAAACAGTGATTGATTTGCCAACAAAATTGGAAGAGAATTCAACAATATGAAACCAACCAATGTTTCCAATAGAATTAGTTCTTTTATCTAATCAAGGATAGCACTCAACACCACTAATGCACATTATCATCGTCCATATTCATGTATGTATGTATGTATGTATATGTGTGGAACATGGAGTTGGAGCTGTTGACTCGTTTTCTTCTTTCCTGTCCCACTAAAAATGTATAAGAACTCAACCATGTGTTTTGTTGTTAGGGTAGTGTTGCCTCATCTGCACACTTATGCAAATGCATTACACCCTTCTCATCATCACTCCAACATTGATTAATTGGATTAAGCTTTATATTTGCGTATGTAGTTATTTTCGTCCCTTTCATCAATTAAATATAATATATAGCATTAAATTTTAGGGTAAATTACATCAGATACCACTCAACTTTAGGTATTGTATCGTTTATTCCATCGAACTTACAATTTCACCAATTATAGCATTGAACTTTGTTTTTTGTTTCAATTATACCACTAAACTGTTAAATCTTTAACGGCACGATGACGTGATTGACGGCTGTCGACACAGACACAGACACCTCACCAAAACAACATCATTTTGATCTGACTGTTAACGATTTAACGATCCAGTGGTATAATTGAAACGAAAAACAAAGTTTACACTGCAGCAAAACTGGCTTTTTGCGGCGCTTTTTTACCTATAGCGGTGTTTTTAGGCACCACAAAAAACACATGTGGCGTTATGACAAACGCCACAAAAAGCGCCGCTAAAGTTCGCAGCGTTTGTTAATGAAAAATGTCGCAATATGTAACTATATATAGTGGCGTTTGTTAAACAAACGCCACAATAGGTACTGATATTTAGCGGCATTTGTCTTATAAATGTCGCAATAGGTGTTGAGATTTAGCGGCGTTTTTATCACAAACGTCGCAATAAGTGTTGAGATTTAGTGGCGTTTTTTATGCAAAAGCCGCTAAAGGTTGGTATATAGCGACGTTTTTTTTATAAAAACGTCGCAATATGTGTTAATATTTCGCAGTGTTTTTTTGATACAAACGCCGCTAAATGTGTGATATATTGTGGCGTTTTTGTTACAAACGCCGCTAAATAACACATAATTTAAATAAATAAAAAATTATTGTCGATTACCCCAAATCTATTTTTTCACCCTGTTCCATTATCCAACAAACATGATAGCAATAACATCAAACTCTATATCAATAACAAGCAACATCAAATCCAATATAATAAATAAAAGTTTTCATTAACGTAATATAAGTTCAGTTAAACATGGTTCAGTAACATTAACATAATGCTGATAACATAAATGAGACTACGATGGTGAATTTTGAGGTTGAGTTTTCTGTATCATATGCATCATATCATTGAGTCGTTTTTTAAATTATTCACATCTCTGCTGACATGTTGCTTCTCTCTGTGTTGTCGCTGCATCACTTACTTCATTTTCCGCTTTCATGTTAGCCATTTGTTGATCCATATCAACCAACTTTTGTTTTAAATGACTAACTTCTAATTGGGAAGATTGAGACTTTGATGACATGTACTGTGATGAACTAGATCCAAAATATTTGGTGGGAGTAACAAATGATCCTTGACAACACACCCGACCATATCTTTCAGGACCCAAAACGTCATTAATAGCTCAGTTTTCAATGTCATCATCATTAACAAGACCTTGATTAAAAATCATACATGGATTTTGTAATAAGATGAGAGAAGGCAATAGTATATTAACAAGACCTTGATTAGAAATCGTACATGGATTTTATAATAAGATGAGAGAAGGCAATAGTATGATTTCTAATGTGCCTCCTCCTCCCGACACATTAGAAATCATACATGGGTTTTATAATAAGATGAGAGAAGGGGAATCTTAAGCTCATGATGCTGATGAAGATTTTGAAAAAGAATCATATATAATAATTTTCTGTGTTTTCGTTATGTTGATTATAATTCAAGTCATTAGTAGTTTTTTTGGTGACAAAATAAATAATCGTCGCATTAGATTAAAAAAAGATATACAATTATGACAAAAGCTAAAATCGTCATAATAATTTGTCACAATTAACAAACATGTGTAATATATGGTGACAAAATAAATTTTATTACTAATTTTTGTCACATATGTTTCCCTCCAATTTTTTTGGCGTCAATTTGAAGGCATATAGTGACAACTTTTGTAACTAAAAGTTTTAGTAACTATGACAAAAAATTGTCACAACAAATAATGAGATTTAGATTTGTTGTGACAAATTTTGTTTGTAATTATATATTTTAATTATAGTGACAAAATGTATAGTCACAAATGATTATCTCCGCTTTTTGGTAAAAAAACAAAATCATATAGTGACATGTTTTGTAACTATAAGCTATAATTATTTTTACAAAAAAATTGTCACAACAAATAATGAGATTCAAGTTTTTAGTAAAAAACAATAGTTGTCGTTATATGTTTTAATTATAGTGACAAAATATATTGTCACAAATATTTTCCTCCATATTTTTTTGCGCCAAAAAAATAATGATATTCACGTTTTTGTGACAAATTATATTTGTAGTTATAAATTTTAATTATAGTGATAGCATATATTAATTATCATAACTATTTTTCTCCACCTTTTTGTTTCAAAAGTTATATTGACAATTTTTATAATTATAATTTATAGTTATTATTATAGAAAAAATTATCACATCAAATAATAAAATTCAAGTTTTTGTATTAAATTATTTTTGTACTTATATACTTTAATCATTATAAAAAATTATACTATCAGAATCATTTATCCCTATTTTTTATTTTCAAAAATGTTATATAGTAACAAAATATATTGTCATAAAGATTTTTTTCCATATTTTTTGCACCAAAAAGAATGGTATTCACATTTTTGCGAGAAATTATACTTGTAGTTATAAATTTTAATTATAGCGATAACATATATTGCTATAAATATTTTATCCACTTTTTTGTTTCAAAAAGCTATATTAATAAGTTTTGTAATTATAATTTATAATTATTGTTATAGAAAAAAATTTCACATCAGATAATAAAATTCAAGTTTTTTGTAATCAATTATTTT